TCAGCCAATGACTCTACAGCTGGAAGGCTTCGGACTTGACAGAACTAAAGATCCTGAGCGACAAAACAAGTCCAAAAGTGTGTCAGAGTGTTTGTAGACGTCTAAGAGAAATTAGACGCCCGGCTAACCCCTCATGCAGGTTAAAAGATAGGTTAATGGAATTGCCCAGATCCTACCTGACAATTCTAAAGATCGGTGCGAGCATATTCAACTGTTGAGTACCCTGCATCGGGTGGAGCCTAGGGAAGCCTACAACGCAGTGAAGGAGCTGGCCTCGAACATAGAACAATCCAAACTGATGTGGTCAAAGTGAAGAAGGAGGGCGAAAGCATGATAAAGAGTTGGAGGAAAAGCGCCTATCAAGAAGTGGGGCCAAGGGCAGAGAGTGATGAGTGGGCAGTCAAATTTAAGGCCAGATGAGACGTTGGAGAGCCAAGAGCAGTGAATGATAAACGAGACGCCCAATGTGCCGCAAGAGAAGGCATATTGACAGGGACTGTCCCCTAAGGGAAACTGTGTGAAACAAATTGCTACCAAGCTACAGGAACTGGAACTGAGGAGTTCAGACAAGGTGGCTCAAATTCGTTGGGTGGGCCAAAATTATGAGGACGCTTCGAGCATTACTGTGGTCTTTAAAAACACATAGTTGCTTGATGGGACAAACAAACTTCAGGGAAGTGTTTGCAACTCTTATCTCAAAGTAATTCCAGAATAGAATTGAGATCTGCCACCTGCCGCGTTTACACGAGCCTTCAGATGAAGGGGATGGCGCGTGCGGTGCACGCAACTAAGGCGTGTCAAAATGTTTCCAGGCCTTCTGCTCTGCTTTCTTCAGGGGATCGAAGTAACGGGCATTATTTCACTTAGTCTCCAGGTGTAAGATGCAGAGTCTACCTGATGCATATATAACAAGCGTTCCTATATCACAATTCATCACAAGCCGGAACTACGAATAACTCGCTTACAGGAGGACTTTTTGCTCTTTTTTCGGTGTGCTCGGTTCCTGTAAACAAGCTGTTCAAGTGACTCAGTAGATCTAAGAAGGAAGATAACACGGCCTGTCGTAGCATTTCAAATTGCGAGATCACAATATAAGGAGACTTCTCCTATGTAGTATGCGCTACAAGCCTGGCCGCCGAGTCGGCACTTCGTACACGCGGACAAGCGATGGGCGAGCATCGCGCAATTGGCGACGCGCATATGCGCACATCATCCTTTGTGTTGTCCGTACGGACAGCGTCCGCGACGGCACGGACTATGAAAGCAGCCTTAAGTGGGTGCGGCGCAATGTGGTTCGAGGGGGCCAGACGCCGCGCACGATCTCTGCGTCTTTCTGTGTAAAGCATTTCCTCTTCGCTCTGAATCAAGACTAGGCAGTCGGGTGCAGGGTCAACCCGAGTACGACCCCCCCGTTGTTACGAGTAACAACGGGGAGTCGTACTCAGCTGAGTTTGGAGGGGGAGTCGTACTCTCTCGGTGGCCGGCAGTGGGATTCTTGGTAATATCGGATAATAGCCAGCACGTTACGTTTTCGTAAGATGACTGATACTAGAGCATCTATAAACCACGCTTTCCCTCTAAATGAGCTTTCAAATGAATCAGCGAATTAGAAGGGCGCCCGAGGCGTGGCGCGCACCAAGGCAAGGGATGTAGTGCAAGCGCATGCTCGAAGCTTTCTAGCACATCCTAAGTTAAACATGAAATGGCTTTCCAAGAATTAGGGCAGGAAACCTAAAGCCAACCCAGAGTTTTCGAGAAAATGGCTTGAAGAATATCCCTCAAAAAAAGTAACAACGGGACTAATTTTTGAACTGCTGACTTTTCAGGAAACGTTTTGGTGCTCATAAGAAAGCTTGAATCCTGTAGTTTGTCATACCGTGTTCAGCTTCCCAAATGAATGACTTTGAAGGAAGTTATGATCGTTTGAAGGTAAAAAAAAGTCGCGGTTCCAGAAAAAATAGTAACGCAAACCCCCAAAAAAGTAACAACGGGACTAATTTTTGAACTGCTGATCTTTCAGGAACGCTTGGGTGCTCGTTAGAAAGCTTGAATCCTGTAGTTTATTATACGTGTTCAGCTTCCCAAATGAATGACTTTGAAGGAAGTTATGATCGTTTGAAGGTCAAAAAGTCGCTTTGCACAGAAAAAAGTAACAACGTACTAAATTTTTATTAAATTAACTTTCGAAGAATTTTTACCCATGGTTGGAGAGAGAATACATTGTGTCCCATAATATTGCACCAAATTTTGAGCTCAAATTCTGTAGGTGTTTATAGCTTTTCTTCCGAGATTGGCAGACCTTTCAATCCTCTATCCTCTTGTCAATGACCATGCCAAATTCCACGGCTTACCGTTCGGCCTGCATCTCATGGTGCGCCTAAACTTCAACAGAGTGCCTAACCTCTCACACAGCTAGGTCGGACATCCGGTGATGAGCATCGCGCTTCTTTGGATTTTCAACCGCTCCGCGGCCTACCGTGCACTGAAGAGAAGACCAATAAAAGTAGTCTTTGTTGCGGCCGCCCCACAAGTTCTGACATCTTGGATCTCAGGAAAAGCATGAAGAAGCGAAACGACTGCAATACCCGGGTTGGCTCGAGAAAGGAACGCTGGAGTTTCTAAACACAGCCATGTAGAGAGTGGTCGGATAACAACTGCTCACAGTCCATTATAAGTTGCATAAGCACCACTGCTCAATCCAACGGGAGGAGCACAGCAGAGACAAAAAGTTCAAAGAGCTGGTGTCGAGGGCCGAAAATGGCGATTACGCGGGCACCGTTTTCATCGACGACAAAATTCCTCACATGGAGCGGAGCTACAATCTTCAAACTCCGAGGATGCCCGCATGAGGTCTTGAGGAAGTCAGTGAGAGTGAAAGGAATATTCGCCACAAGCAGCAGCCGAACCTTATCATGGTCTGGACGGGGGTCTCAACTACCGGTCGCTCACCATCACTGCCTGTTTACAAAGGAATACAACTTGATACTAGACCGAGCCAAGGGACATTTCGGTGCACCATCTGTTACTGAGGTATCTAGCCACTTTGAGGAGGGGTGATGATCTTTTCAATAGGACCCAGCTTCTGCATAGGAGGCAAAAATTGTTCAGGAGCGCTGTTGAGGCACTCTTTCCGATTTCACATCCTCGAACGAATGGCTCTCCTATCCCTTGATTTCAGCGTGCTGGACCATCCTATGTGGGCTATGTTAGGGGCAGAGCCTGCACTAAACATTGCATCCACATGGATGAGCCGGAGCCTTTTCTCTGCAAAGTTTCGAAGAGAACACCCCAGGATGCCATGCGGGCCACAGTAGAGTTGCGTTCGAAGCAATTGGGAGCCATACTCACAACAACAGGGGAGCATATCCAATGAATGTCATTCCTTTCAATATGTAAATGTATTGCTAAATTTTTGTAAACCTCTTGAAAATACATCCATTTTGAAAGAAGTTACAAGCAAAGAAAAGTGGTGCAATATTTATGGGACACCCTGTAATTTGAATTTTCCAAATCAAATCACTTCGGCGCAGAAGCTCGAATATGAAGGAAGTTATAGCCTTAGAAAGAGGGGTGTAAAAATTGTGTTGCAATTGAAGAACGTGAAGGATTTCAGTATTTCAATTGGAGCGATAATTTTTTCTGACTTCTCATAAGTTTTTATCAGGTAATATTGTCAATATTCCGGTCACTGGTTCAGTTTATTTCATCTCCTAGTTTGGTAACCCTTTGGAGTACACGGATATCTTTGAATGCATCTCATTTTTTCGTGTTTGGAAGCAGCGATGAATATCTGTCGTGGATTTTGCTAAAGTTTCATCTTTGATGACTTACGTAGAAATAAATATTGATGGTAAACACTGTCTCTACACAAGTGTCACATACAAGGGGGGTCGTATCAAATCACCCATGAAGGGGGGGGGGTCGTAAAAAATTTCCAAAGAGTAACAACGATAGGGTTGACCCTGTTCGGGTGCGGGATCGATCGCGGACAGAGCTGTCGCCTGTCGCTTGTGCACTTTGCAAGCGATTGCGCAATCGCTTGCCAATCGCTCTCGGAGAGCGATTGGCAAGCGACGGACAAGCGATGGAGCGATCGCGATCGCTCCATCGCTTGTCCGTCGCCGAGTTTGACGGCGTCATAGGGGTACAGCTGTTTATAAGGTCAGAAAGAAGAGATGGCAGGGATAGGTACGGTAACTAGCAGAAGTAGAAGGGAAGGGAAGCAAAAGTTAGAGTGAATAAACTGAGTACTTCAGCATTCAGAGGCGCCGATATTCGCGTGAAAAGCGACAAAGGCGACTTGAAAATGTAAAACGGACAGGGATTTTCTGAATTAGGGACCCCAGGAACGACATTCACATTATGGTGACTCGAAGTATGTCGTACGTTCTGTGAAGTCGTTGTACGAATGTGCAAGAAAAAAGCAAAATGGAATAGAAATGCTTCCACAAATAAAGAAAGTAGAGCATCATCTGATGTGGGAATCGGCACCCGGGGGGGGGGCGTGTTGAGCAGGTCAGCGATCTGCCCCCTGGAAGAAAAGAGACATGGGTGGGAAACAGAACATATAAAAAGGGAAGATGACATCGTGTGAGGTTCTGGAGCACTGTCCCTTGTCGAGCCTCTTCTCCGCCCTCACTATTCCACTGAACTACGGGCTTATCCCCCGTTTCATTCGTTCTTTTTCCGCATTGTAAGTTTTTTCGTAGGGTCAATTTCCGCGTTGAATCGTTACATACTGTTGGCTAAATAATAAATAATTGATTGCACTTGGTATGATTGCTCGTACTGGCCGTTTCACGGTCCATACCGCTCTACCGAACCAGATATTCGGTACGATAGCGGATACATTCCAAATTGTTCCCAAGCGTATTCAGCGTTTTTTTTATCTCACGAATCCACTAAGAAATCACTTCAAAGTCATTGCCGCGGAGAACAACATGAGATGGCAAGAAAACCACGAGCAGCTGCGCCGGAAATTACTGAAAAAAGGGCATCGACTACATCATACCTGCTCCTGCTTTGTATCCGTGCTTTGATATATGATTTTCCACCATCCTTGCTGCAAGAGGGTAAAACATTTTTGCGCCCATTTCGGGACTTTCACGAGCCTGAAGAATTCCAAAAATAGGAATGACTCACAAAATCAATAAGAGAATTTCATAAGAAATTACTAATGCACCTGCATAACTATACTCATTACACCCCAAAAGAAATAGGGAGTGTTGTTAAACTCTTTGAACAAACGCATTGCCACCAACTGTTGATTTTTATACGATCTAAAAACTAATCGTGTAAAAACATAATAACATATTTTCATGAATCACTCACCTATTCCTAACGTGAGCCATAAAAAGATGGTGTAAGATTCTGTTCAGTTGGGGAGACCGCAACCGCTTCGCTCATAGAGTGTTGTTATTCTGTCTGGACAACCAGCTTCCTTAATGTAGCGTTTTGTGAAGTCCCTCAAGAAGGACCCAGTTCGTAGAAACTTGGTCACGCGCTTGTTTGTATTTAATTGAGAAAAATACCTCTGTAGTAGAAGGTGCGCATTACCCTCATCGAAAGTGCACAATTTCATTCATCTGCTTCGACGTATGTGAAAGGTTTATCTATTGCCTCATCACGCCACTCAAATCAATCAACAATCTTGTAGATCAATCTTACGCGCAACAACTAGCTCGGTGGACCTGCTTACAACCTGTGGGCTTCTTTTTAATGATTCTAGGATTTGAAAACAGCTCATGCCCACTAGCGATAACAGGGACATGACAGCGCAAGGGCGTCATCGCAAGAGCGTAAGAAGTAGTTTATTGAGTCGAAGAAAAATGGAAGCTGCACGCTGAGAAATCAAATGGGCTCTGCGGAAGATCAACATGAATCCTGGTGATACAAAACTTTATTCGTATGAAAACATCAAAAATTTGAGGACTATCCTGGCAAGCTACCCAAAACTTCGCTATAGTTCCCGTACTGACTAAGTTAATAAGAAAGGTTCAGGAAATTGAAAGATAAAAATAGGTAGCTGGGAACCACTCTAGCTATTCAACGCATGTGTTCGCAAGTTGATCCATGATCGCAGGTGAAACGCGCCTACATACGCTTATTTTGATATCCGTTGTTTGATATCATTATGAATCTTCAACTCGACAAAGAAAGAATGAGAAGATAGATATAAGAAGCACTGAATGTATAATAAAGTGTTAGCGAAGAATACTGCTGACTCACAAACGGCGGATATTTGAGGCGTTCACAAAGTTGTCGTTCAATTATCGCTCTACACTTCGCTGCAGCGAACACCCGTGTTAGCCCCTGGCTTTCATATAAAACAGAAGCAGAATAGATGTCAGGCCTCCATCTAGCTGTCGACTTCAATTGAATACACCATGGAGATCAAATGAATTAGGTAATGGTATTCCAGGTGTCCACAGATCAGCACCGTAAACTTCACGCAAAGGGACAGCTTGTTCTAGGACTGTGTTGAGATCGCCTGTGAGTCTTTTCGGAAGCCAACTCGAGACATTGAGTCTTCTGTGATAATTATGCTGCACCCAACGCGGGCACCTGAGTTTAAGGGGCATCAAAGGGTGAACCAGTTGACACAGTTCAAGTAGTTTTCCAGCGCGGTAGTATGCTTATCGATAGTTGTAAGAACCGACATACCGCGTCGAGGAGAACATCGCTTGCAAGAACTGCGCTGGTAAATCTTGGATCAGAAAGGCTTGGAACTTTGCTGTACGAACAAAAAAGATATATGCATGAGGCAAAGGCAGCGATGAAAACTAGCGATATCAGCGACCCAAGAAGTGAGCTATCGCGGTGCTCTCAGCATTTGATACGCTTCGTCGAAGCGGTAGCACAACAGTGCATTCGCAGGATCCTTGACATTGCCGTCTGGTAGGACCATCAAAAAAAAACTAGTGACAGAGGAAAGAGATGACGCGAGTTACATCACCATGGCTTCCTGGGCCGTTGATAAAAAATGGCCCTTCATTGAAGGCATACCTTGAAGCATGAACGTAAGGCCTGCAACGTGCTGTCATCGAAATGGGCACCAGGAACGTCTAAGGTGTTGATGATTTCGAAACCGTCGGCAAGCTTGTCTGACCGAATGAGTGCCAACGCTTTGAGCACCTAACATATATGAAATATTACCTCAACCACAGTCCAGATCCGAAAGTTGGTGGTAGGCGTGGTCACAGGAAGACGTGGCTGCCGTCGCACTCTATAGAAGTTGTGTGGATAAGCTGTTGCCAGCATGCTTCCTGATATCCAGCGGTGTAAGTTGGAAGCAGCTTATCCACGCGTTCTATCAAGTGCGGCGATGACCACTTCGTCTCTGGTGACACGCCTACCCCACTCGGATATCGACTGTATATCTGAATGACGACGCAACGTAATAATCACAAGAAATTTGAATGGCATGTTTGAAACTATCCATACCGCAAGCATGAGGTTTCAACAGCACACAATAGCTATACACCCGCAATTAAAGGTTTGCTAAACTGGGGAGCACCATTCAGAAACCAAGTGTTTGTTGTTATAATGTGATACCCTGAGAATAACTCGCCATGTGGCGCTGCGGTGCGGTCCAGCAGTTACTGACGCTTTTTCACAGCGGTTGCCGAATTTTTAACTTAACACATTGCGAACCGCGTGCGCCACTATGTGGGCGCACACTTTCGCACGAAACAGCATAGTATAATCCGATTTATTTGACACTTTTCAATGCTCCTCAACTGCTTGCACTCATTTTCAGACCGCGAAATTACGGTTCGCTGATAAAAATTATTGGTGTATATTGAATGATACATTGGTTAGAAAATGATAATAAGAAGAAGCGAAGGATACTATACAAATGCCTGTCCACGAATGTGTTGATAACACCTTTGCCGCTGGAAGAACTTCTTGTATCTCAAACCGAGTGCACTTTCCTGCGAGTTCGAAAGGGTTAATTTCCAAGCATCCGCTCTGTCCAATACCGCACTTCGCAGGCGATAAATTTGAATAAAAAATGAGAGCCCCATACCACATCTTTTCGTGAAAATGTAGCCGATCAAGTATACCCTAAGGCACTGACAGGCATGCATTGCGGGCCTGCACTGCGGTAAAATTGCAGTTTGATGCGCCGAACGCGTGTTCAGTGCTTGGTCTATGAGCCTCTTTAGACTTCGATGCGAGGGCATCCGTACCAAAACAAGGACTGCATGCTATTCTCCCACAAGAGAACGCGCCCATCCACTCGACACTGACCTGGATCTTGCGGAACGCATCGTTTTGTACTCCTTCTGACTAGTAAAGGACGCCATTCGTTACGGGTCCCACTGCCTCCTGCTACAGTGAACCCTTCAATGTGGAGCGGGGAATCCGTGAGCCAGGGGCAGTGTCGCCAGTCTAGGGGGTGGGGGGTGAGGGCAGACACTTGACATGCGTGAGAAGCTGGAATGTTCGAATTCAACCGCGATCACATGGGATCCCCGCGGGTTAAGGCAGTGGGTCCCGCAACGAATGGCGCCCTATACTAGTCAGTAGGAGTACAAAATGATCACTCCCGGATTGCGTATGGTTCCGTCAGAGGTTTGAGGGAGCATAGCATCAGGAGTGAAGATTCAG